GCCACTACATAATATTGAAAGGATCTATCCAACAGGAAGATACAACCTTGATAAATATATATGCACTCAATATAGGAGCACCAAAATATATTAAAAATCTTCTGGAGGACTTCAAAGGAGAAATCAACAGCAATACAATCATAGCAGGGGACTTCAACACCCCGCTGACATCACTGGATAGATCCTCTAGACAAAAAATTAGCAAGGAAACAGAGTCTCTAAATGAAGCACTAGACCAAATGGATTTCATCGATATCTACAGAGATTTACACCCCAAAACTGCAGAATTCATATTCTTCTGAAATGCACATGGGACATTCTCAAAGATAGACCACTTGTTAGAACACAAACTAAATCTCTACAAGTTCAAGAAGACTGAAATCATATCAAGCATCTTCTCAGATCACAATGGCATGAAACTAGAAATCAATTGCAACAAGAACATGCAAAGACACTGGAACACATGGAGGCTAAATAGCATATTATTAAACAATGAATGGGTTACTGAGGAGATCAAGGAAGAAATTAAAAACCTCCTGGAATCCAATGAAAATGAACACACAACAGCACAAAATCTATGGGATGGAGCGAAAGCAGTTTTGAGAGGGAAGTTCATTGTACTACAGGCCTACCTCAAGAAACAAGACAAATTTCTAATAGACTATCTAACATTACAACTTAAAGAACTAGAAAGAAAACAAAAAGAAAACCCCAGAGCAAGTAGAAGGAAGGAAATAATAAAGATCAGAGCAGAAATAAATGACATAGAGAGCCCCCCCCCCCCCAAAAAAAAAAAAAAACAATTCAAAGGATCAATGAAACAAAGAGCTGGTTTTTTGAAAAGATAAACAAGATTGATGGACCCTTAGCTAGACTCACCAAGAAACAAAGAGAGAGAACCAAACACACAAAATCAGAAATGAAAGGGGAGAAGTAACAACTGACACCACAGAAATACAAAAGATCATTAACAACTACTATGAATAATTATATGGCAACAAATTCGACAATCTAAGTGAAATGGACAAATTTCTAGAAACACATAGTCTCCCAAAACTGGACCAGGAAGAGATAAAAAACTTGAACAGACCAATAACAACTAAGGAAATTGAAGAGGTAATCAAGACTCTCCCAGCAAAAAAAAGCCCAGACTTGGATGGCTTCACGGGGGAGTTTTACCGAACATTCAAAACAGAACTAACACCCATTCTCCTCAAACTATTTAAAAAATTCAAGAAGAAGGAAGACTTCCAAACTCATTGTATGAGGCCAGCAAAATTCGAATTTCAAAACCAGAAAAAGACACTACAAAGAAAGAAAACTACAGGCAAATATCCGTAATGAACATAGACTTCAAAATCCTGAAAAAAATACTAGCAAATTGGATACAGCAATACATCAAAAAAAAATTATTCATTATGACCAAGTGGGATTCATCCAAGGGATGCAAGGCTGGTACAATATTCACAAATTAATAAATGTGATACACCACATAAACAAAATGAAGAATAAAAACCATATGATCATATTAATAGATGCTGAAAAAGCATTTGACAAAATCCAGCATCCATTTCTGATAAAAACGCTCAGCAATGTGGGAATAGAGGGGTCATATCTTAACATAATAAAGGCCATATATGAAAGACCTACAGCCAACATCATACTCAATGGGCAGAAACTATAGTACTGGAAGTCTTAGCCACAGCAATCAGACATGAAGTAAAAATAGAAGGGATCCAAATTGAAAAGGAAGAAGTGAAACTGTCATTATTTGCAGATGACACGATATTATACATAGAAAACCCTAAAGACTCCATCAAAAATCTACTAGACTCAATAAATGAATTTGGCAAAGTAGCAGGATACAAAATTAACGTCAAGAAATCAATGGCATTCTTACCAATGATGGTAAGAATACACCAATGATGAACTCATAGAAAGAGAAACTGAAAAAACAATCCCATTTACCATTGTGGCAAAAAAATTAAGATACCTAGGAATAAACTTAACCAAAGAAGTAAAGAACCTATTTGCAGAAAACTACAGGACATTGAAAAAAGAAAGAGAGGAAGATATAAAAAAGTGGAAGCACATACCTTGTTCATGGATTGGAAGAAGTAACATCATTAAAATGTCCATACTACCTGAAGCCATCTATAGATTCAATGCAATCCTCATCAAAATACCAACGACATACTTCACAGAACTAGAACAAATACTTCAAAAGTTTATATGAAACCAAAAAAGACCTCAAATAGCCACAGCAATCTTGAAAAAGGACAAAGTAGGTGAGATCACAATACCAGATATCAAGTTATACTACAGAGCTAATGTAATCAAAACAGCCTGGTACTGGCACAAGAACAGGCATATAGATCAGTGGAACAGAAGAGAGAACCCAGAAATTGACCCAAGACACTATGCTCAATTAATATTTGACAAAGGAGGCAAGAGCATACAATGGAATAAAGACAGCCTCTTTAATAAATGGTGTTAGGAAAATTGGACGGCTACATGCAAAAAAATGAAACTGGACCATCAACTTACACCATACACAAGAATAAACTCAAAATGGATAAAAGACTTAAATGTGACCTGTGAATCCATAAAAATCCTAGAAGAAAATGTAGGCAACAAAATTTCAGACATCACACGCAGCAGAATTTTTACTGTTACATCACCTAAGGCAACAGAAACAAAGGAGAAAATGAACACATGGGACTACCTCAAACTCAAAAGCTTCTGCACAGCAAAAGAAACAACCATCAAAATGGAAAGGCAACCCACTGTATGGGAGAGTATCATTGCCAATGATACATCAGATAAGGGGTTAATTTCCAAAATATATAGAGTACTCATACAACTCAACAAAAGGAAGACAAAGAACCCAATTAAAACATGGGCAGAGGAGCTGAATAGACACCTCTCCAAACAGGACATACAAATGGCCAAGAGACATATGAAGAAATGCTCAACATCACTAATCATCAGAGAGATGCAAGTTAAAACAACAATGAGGTATCACCTCACACCTGTCAGAATGGCTGTCATCAACAAATCATCAAAGAACAAGTGTTGGCGAGTGTGTGAAGAAAAGGGGACTCTAGTACACACACTGCTGGTGGGAATGCAGACTGGTGCAGCCACTATGGAAAACACTATGTTGTTACCCTCCAAAATTAAAAATTGAAATGCCTTTTGACCCAGTGATTCCACTTCTAGGAATATATCCTAAGAAGCCTGAAACATCAATCAGAAAGAATATATGTACCCCCCGTGTTCATAGCAGCACTATTTACAATAGCTAAGATCTGAAAACAGCCCAAGTGTCCATCAGTAGACGAATGGATAAAAAAGCAGTGGTACATATACAGAATGGAGTACTATGCAGCTGTAAGAAAGAAAGATCTCTTATCCTTTGAGATGACATGGAGGGACCTGGAAAGTTTTATTTTAAGCGAAACAAGCCACGCAGAGAAAAACAAATACCACATGATCTCACTTATTTGTGGAATATAATGAACATAACAGTCTGAGAAATAGGGTAGACCCAGAGATGTGGAAGTAGGGAACAGACTGACAAACCTCAGAAGATGGGGTGGTAGGGGGAGGGAAGAGATAAACCACAGAACTTATATGCATGTACACATAACCAATGGACATGGACAACAAAGCCAGGGATAGAGGGGTGGGGGATGGGGAGGAGGGTGTTAATGGGGAAAAAATGAGAAACATCTGTAACAAAAATAAAATAAAATATTTAAAGATAAAAAAAGCCAATAAAAACATTTTTAAAAATTAAGAAAAGAAAAAGAAAATATACCCAGAGACATGGAAGTAGGGAACATACTAACAAACATTAGAGTGGAGGGAGGTGGGAGGGTGGGAAGAGATAAACCAAACTACAAACTACTTATATGCATATTTGCATATATACATATATGCATAATCAACCAATGGACACAGAGAACAGTGTGGTGAAGGCAGCGTGGGGTGGGAGTGGGAAGGGGGGTGTTAATTGGTAAAAAAGGAGGGACATCTGTAATACGTTCAACAATAAAGATAAATTTAAAAAGAGGGTGGGAATGGGGAGGAGGAGGTCAATGGGAGAAAAGGGGGGGCATCTGTAATAGTATCAACAATAAGGATAAAAAATTAAAAGAGAGAGGGAGAGACAAAGGTTTTGAAAATGATAGCGTAGTTTCTGGTACACAGTAGGTACTTTACATAAAGTTGACTCATAGCTGGTGGACGGTCTGTGCCCCCTCCCTTCTGAGCCAGGGTGATTTTGTAGGATCAGGAGAGATGGGCTCCTTGGTGTGTACCTGTATCAATTCCCACCATTCTGCTCCTGTCTCCTACACTGTGCAGCAGCTACAGACCAGCTTTTTGACCAGATTGGAGGGAAGTACAGTAGTGAACTACAAAGTAAGTAGGAAATAGTCATATTTGGTTTTATATATCCAGCACTTTATTTTAATAAAAGAACAGCATAATTGCATGCCAAAGTTTTTGTCAGTGAAGAACTGTGCCACAACTAAAGGAATCCTGTGTGCTTGGATCAGGAAACCACAGTTCAGGTCCCCATTTTATCTTGCAGTGGTCCCCAAATTGTAGGGAAAGGGTCTAGGAGGAAGGAAACCATCCCTTTTCTCAACAAGTCTTCTAAATCTAAACCTAAATAGTGATAATGTCGCTAAGACTCAGGAGGAAGGGGCATGGTGTTCTTTGACTTTTCATTCTTCTGATCAGAGAGTTGGCTGGAGTCAGGAGGCACAAAAGATCTGTGGACTCACAAGATTGCTTGCTCAACTGATTTGTTGCTCTGTCGTCGCTGTTCCTTTGGTTCCTTCCCCCACACTTGACTCATTAAATGCTTTCTGGCTCAGTTGGCCTCCTATCTAACCAGAGATCCTCTCCTCTCCCCAAATTCTTCCTTCCTTGTGGCCTTGTATCCGCCAATGCTTTGGGAGTTTAATAATAAGGGAACCCAGCTTCTGTTATATGATTGTCAGCTCCTGGGTCTCAGAAAGGCCATGCTGAACTTTGTGCTGGTCAAACAACTTGCGCACGGCATTGATGTAGAGTGTGTGGTATTTGTCCACTGTCTTCTCGTCTGGACTGTTAATCCTGGGGATTGGCAGGGGCTCCCCAACTGTGGGGAAGAAGTGACAAGGATCAGAGCTTGCTCCCAACTCAAATTACCCATCCCTCAGAGGGAGCCAAATGCTGAAACTCAGTGCTTGGGTCTCTTCTGTTTTTCCCTTTTGCTCCAACCTCATCCTGTCCCATATTCTACAAATACTTAACCTCGAACATGCTCAAGGGAATAAGAACAAGCTCAGGAGAGTGCTGAAGGAATAATGATGCTCTCATGGCAGCTGTTGAACTCTGTCCCACTGGTGAGTGGCCTCAACTCTTATCTGTTCAGTTGTCCTCCCCACCCTGCCCTCAACCACACCCATTGGAATTTTCATTGCCCATCCCACCCATGTGCCAGGTCCCCTGGGACTTGATATGTGACTAGGGTGGGGGGAATCACAGACTAAGGAGGTTCAGAGATACTGGAAATCTCACCAACAGTGGTAATGGGCCGTTTGAAAGGCAGGAAGCCCCAGGATCCTTGAGTGAAACCTCGACCATGGAAAGTACAGAAATTTAGTCTCAGGATTTTTTTGAATGTCTTCTGGAAGGTTTTTTGGAAGAACCTGAACCATGTGCCCTCAGGGAAGGTCGTCTGATTGTAAACCTCATTCTCTCCAAAGGAATAAGAAGGGACAAGGTGTGCTCTGAAAAGAGAGGGGCAGAAATGTGAGTTATCCCAGGAAACTTCCTCCAGTGAAACCCTCACCAAGGTGAGAAACCTCTAAATCTTCCCATTATAGGACAAAAACACAAGCACCCAACATGTTCAGCCTGTGTTTCATTCTTGCCATGCCCCACCCTCCCAACTGAACCCTTTGTTGGGAGGTGCTACACATTTCCCCATGATCGGAAGAAACCCATCTCAGGCAACCTAATTGCCTTTATTGCACCCAGCATCCAGAGTGACCTCCCTAAACCTCGTATCTGGACGTGTTGCTCCTCTCTTTAAAACTTCCAGAGCTCCTCACCTTGTCCCATGCTACTTAACATGGCCTTTGTTTTCTAGCCCTACCTACCTGGTTAGCTTCTCCTCTCCCCACCCCTTCTTTGCAATCTGCTGAGCCATACTAAGAGTGCTAAGTTCTCTCTTGTCTGTGCATCTCTGTGCATTCTGCTCCCTCTGCTGGAAAGGCGTTCCCTCTGTCTTCACGTGGTTAATTCTATTTTGCCCTTCAATACTTAGCTCTGATTTTATCCCCATGAAGAAACTTAACCACCTCCAATTCCCTCCCCTACAATGTGGATTGTGTACCCCTCACCTAATGCTTATCTTTCTCCTGCACTAACACTAACTTAACTCTAATACAGTTATCTCCTTTCCTGTCTGACTCCCCAGTTATCTGTCAAGCTGACCAAAGTTGGGAACTGTATCATTTACCTATGAATTCCTAGGGATTGGCATACTACCTGGTATGTTGTAGGTCTCTTGAGTTCTTTCTCCCTTTTGTTCTGATTGGCAAGTCCTACTAATATTTCAATTCACAATACAGAGGTCACCTACTAATGAAACTTCCACTTTGGGTGAAAGTCTCCATCAACCAGTGCTCTCATAGTATTTTGTACATATCTTCATTATAGTACATCATTTATTCAACAAAATTTATTAAGTTATTTCTATGTGCCAGTACTGTTTGTGTGTGTGTGTGTGTGTGTGAACCAATCAACGTGTCTCTCTCACATCTATGTTTTTTTTTCTCTCTCTCTCCTTCCCACTCTATCTGAAGATAAACATGGAAAAACATCTTCAGGTGAGGATTAAAAAAAAAAAGACAAAGAAGACTATGTGGGAGGGGGGAAGAGAGAGGGATTGAGCAAAAAAGAGAACTTATTGACAGAGACAACACTGGTGACTTCAGAGGGAGGGGCAATATGTGTTTGTGGAAGAAGGTTTGGGTGATAAATGGTGAAAAAGAGCAACTAAAGTTGCTTTCTTTTATTTTTATTTTTATTTTTAATCCTCACCTGAGGACATTTTTCCATTTTTTTTTTGTTCAGGTAGAGTGGGAGGGGGAGAGAGGAAGAGAGAGAGAAACATCGATGTGAAAGGGACACATCGAGTGGCTGCCACCCACACGACCAACCAGGGCCGGGGACAAACTGCAACCGAGGCACATGCCCTTAGCGGGAACCGAACCCGGGTCTCTCGGGACCGCAGGCCGACGCTCTAATCGCTGAGCCAAACCGGCCAGGGCTAAAGTTGCTTTCTTGATTAAAATGAAGATTTCCAGCTTTTTCTGAATCTGCCACAACCACTGTCCCCCAACTGTGCTTTTGGTCCTTCTTCCACACCTTGTAGCTGCTAGCTGGGCGGGCAGCCTGCTCTGTCTGCCTCCTGACCACAGGTCAGAATCCAATGGACTGGATTCATGTAAACACACAAACCGGCAAGGGGATGGTCGGCCCTGTAAGTGGAGCAGGCCCTGAGGGTGGCTGAGGGATTTGTTAGCCATGGCTAATTAACACCTGTAGCTGCAGTGTCCTGGCTGCTGCAGTAGCCTCGTCCAGTTCCTCAAATCCTTGGGCTTCAGCATAGGGAGGACGGACTGGACTAAAGCTGCATGAAAACAGTCAGAGGATTGTGATGCTGGGGAGAGAGCTGGGAAGGAGGCCGTCAGGAGCCTTTTGCTGAGTCACGCCAGTACTGTTTTAAGCCTTGGGGATACATCATTGAACATAATAGATTAAAAAAATCTCTGTCATCATGGAGTCAGAATGGTAATCATCAATAAATCAACAAACAACATGTGCTGATGAGGATGTGGAAAGAAAGGAACCCTTGTGCAGCAGGTGGAACTGTCTTTTGCCCCAGTGATCTCATTTCTGGGAATATATTGGAAAAAACCTGAAACTGTAATTTGAAATAATACATTCACTCCTTATGTTCATTGCAGTGTTATTTACAATAGCCAAGATTTGGAAACAGCCCAAGTGACTATCAGTAGGTGAGTGGATAAAAAATCTGTGGTACATTAACACAATGGAATACTATTCAGACATAAAAAAGAAGTAAATCTTACCCTTTGCAATAGCATGGATGGACCTGGAGGTTATTATGCTAAGTGAAATAAGCCAATCAGAGAAAGACAAATACCATATGATCTCACTTATATGTGGAATATAATGAACAAAATAAACTGACAAACAAAATAGAAACAGTGGATACATGAAACAGACTGACAGCTATGAGAGGGGAGGGGTTGGGGGACTGGATGTAAGAAAGTGAAGAGGTTAAGCAAAAAAAAAAATGTATACACACACACACACACACACACACACATACACACACATACACAGAAGACACAGAAAACAGTGTGGTGATAACCAGAGGGAAAAGGGAGTGGGGGTGTGTAGAGGTGGGCAGGAGGGGGGGATGAATGGAGACGGAAAGAGATTTTGCTTGGGGCGATGGGCACAGGATGCAGTGTGCAGATGATGTTTTGCTGAGTTGTACACTTGAAACCTGTATGGCTTTGTGAACCAATGTCACCCCAATAAATTCAATGAAAAAAGTAGTATCATCCGCCTGGCTACAGTTGAGAATAGACTCTTGGATGTGGGTGAGGCAAGAATAGAAACAGGGAGAGCCCTTGGGAGATTAATGTAATAATCCAGGGAAGAGATGATGATAGTTTAAACCCGGGTGGTAGTTGAAATGGTAAGTGATTGGGTTCCGGATATATTTTGTAATTATATGTGCATATGTCTGTCTTCCCTACTGGAGTAAGTTTTTTAAAGGCAAGGACCAGGTCTTACTTATATTTATATCCTCATTTCCTAGTAATATGACACAGAGTAGGTGGTCAGTAACTGCTCAATGAATGCATTCTGTTTCTTAAACCAGATAATATGCTCTTTGGGGGCAGTAGTCATGTCTTTTTAAAATTAATTTATTGGGGTGACATGGGTTAATATAATTATATAGGTCACAAGTGTAGAATTATACATCACCTGTATGCGTTTTGTGTGTTCACCACCCCAAATCAAGTCTCCTTCCATCACCATTTATCCCCCTTTTACTCTCTTCTACCTGCCCCAACACCCTTCCCTCAGTAATCATGTCTTATCTTTGCAATCACCATAGTATCAAGCCTAGTGTCTTCCTTGCCCTGGGTAGGTTCTCTTGGCTTCTCAATTAATAGGTTGATATAAAGTAAATCTGCATTCTCCACACCCCCAACCTACCAGGCTAATGAGTAGAAGATAAAGATCTTCTGTTTTTCTTTCTCCAACTTCAAGTAAAAAAGTCCCCACCGAAATGTGTCTGGAGGTCAAAATACCTTTAAGGTACAGTGTGAGGAAGTAGAGAAAATTAACTGGAGTGAAGAGGGAGCCCCCTCTAACAGGTTTCCAAGGAAGGGCACCATTCTGGAGAGGTGCTACAGAGGATCCATGGCACCCAGACAATAGGACACCAGAACCTAGGGACTCACCCTGTCTGCAGTGCTAGCTTCACAAAACCTTTATGCTGTTTAAGGTAGATGGTAGAAACTCCTGGCCGGCATAAGAGGGATTCAGCAGCTCCGCCCACCACAACCACCACAGCATTGCCCGAACCATTCTGAGTCAGCAAATACTTCAAGGCCAACTTACTCACGGGGCACACACCTGTGAAACCAAAGAGTCAACAAACTTGGTGTCTGAGGATGGGGTAAGGTGTTCCTCTGTGCTGTTAATGATGGAGACAGTTCTTTTGTTTCCTGACTATTGTTTCCACTCTTCTGTCTTTGACCTTCACATCCTGGGTTACCCCTAGTCTGAGGTTGGTCCTTAGGGTCATCTGCTTGTGTTGGGAGTCTATGCTACTACAATTGGGGTGACATTGAGTTCCTCTCTCTATTTCCTCTTAGTTCAATGGTATTTAAGCCCACACCTTTCCTCACTACTCATCAACCACAGCTGTCTTCCACTCTCCCCAGGCTGACAGCACTGGACATTCACCAGAGTTCTCTCCCCAGGGGTAATCAGGACTAGTCACCACCAACCTGCTTCCTCCCTAAGCATCTGCTGAAGGGGAGCCATTGGCTGGAGTTTCTGGAGAGTAGGCACACCCAGAAGTCTGCCCAAGCCAAATTAAAATGTAGATGAACCATGGAATAAGGATGACACCTCGTTGTTCAACAGTCTTTCTTCACTTCTGCTTCCCATCTTTGCCTTGAACTTACCTTCTATTCTCTCTTGGGCCTCAGTCATTGAGAGAGACCACTGTTCCAGGTTCATGCCAACCTCAGAGAGGAGCAGAACCGTCATCTGGGACTCTAGTATTCCCACTTGGTCCTTCCAGATAAATGTATCTTACCTTTTAATATTTAGTGTCAGTTGTTTTCTGGTGTCCAGAGGATGGATATTCATCCAGAGAGAAGAACATTTGTCACATCCCCTGGCTTGAAGCCTGGCATGGGGAGGTTGTCCTTGATTCTGATGGATGTTTATTTTTTTATCTCTTGATGTCTTATGCCAGTTTGAAGGGGTCATCTGGGAGATGAAGGTCATGGGCCAGGAAAGTACCAGCTAGTATGAAAGACTTTAAAATATCTTTAAGACTCCCTGGGATGAGAGCTGCTTTATAAATGACTAGCCAAAAGAGGCCAACTGATATCCCAGAAAGAGTCTGGCAAAGTTAATCTGAGCTGCCTGTTTCATGACTGATTTACCTGACATTTGGGTTTGATATTTGACTTTTGCCTTCTGCTTTCCACTTTGGCTTTGATCCTGAACTCTAGCCTTCTCCTTACCCCTTGGAATGTATTATTGGCGACTCTTATGAATGCCTGTAACTTACCCTGCTGCCTCCCAGATCTTGGACAGAACTTGATGCTTAGCCACAAACTCCTGTTACTGGTCCAGTGTGTTCAGGACTTATTTTCTACTAAGTCCTCTTCCAGCAGGGAGTGAGAATTGAACTGATTCTCAGGGCTTGTTGAGGTTGGAGCCCTGAGGTAGGTCAGAGGATGGAATGATTTCTTATACTCACCCACTGACATTACATATTCTCTCAAAAATGGGATCCAGAAAATCCATTCCAAGGTCCCTACAGAAGGAGTGATGCCTGGGAAAATCCGAGCAAAGCTAGTGGCCTCAGTGCCAAAGTTGATGAAGACACCGAAAGATAAGATGCCGTGGGGATGGTTGGCAATGATATAGTTGTGTTTGGGAGAGAGGTCATGAGTCTTCATCAGCTGTTAGAGGGAGATTGAGTCAGAACAGTGGATAGGAAAAAGAAAGAGAGAACATGTGAACTCAGATCCCAGCAGGTAACCTGTGTTTCCCTTGGGGATCCCAAATTCCTAGTCACTGGGCTGTCACCAGGGGTTATGATACTCAGAGAGGCTGACTTGGGTTTGTCATATGAGGAAAGGCTGCTATCCATCCATCTCCTCACCAGCTCATCTATCTTGGGTCCCTACTCTGCATTATGCCTCTGAGCCTTGACCTTCACTATTGGCCACCAAAGCCTTTAAAAGCATGAAGCTGAGTGGAGAGGGAGAATCTGAGCAACAGGGACTGAATGCACCCAGAGGAAGGGCTAGTTACCTTTATTGGGAAGTAATTTCGGAAATACTTCCAGAGGGCCCATTTTCGTACCCAAACTGAACGCCTACCACCTGTGGTAGAAAGGGAAGAGCAGATAAGATACTGCCAATTCTACTTTCCCCAGAGTAGAGGGTTCTTCCTACAGTCCTCAGGTCACAGGAGGGGCCTCCTTCTTACACTTCCATATTTCTAGGGCACAGAGCTATAGGTGTTGTCCCTGAACCCAACCCCCAAGAAGACAAGGGAGGCCCCTGCTCCTCTGGAACCAGTCGGAAAGGTGAAAGGCAGAGTGTGAGGCTGGGCACCTGCCCAGAAACCTCAACCTTTTCATTCTTCCTGGGTAGTCTGGCAGAGACCTCTCTTCCCTGCTGAGCTTTTCTGCCTTCTCTCTAATCCCCCTTTGTACCCCCGCCTCTCCATCATGACCTCTTTGCCTTTCCCTTTCTTTGCTCTCCCCACCCCTTCTCCCTCTGCCTCTCCCATTCTTTCCCTCCACTTCCCTCTCCATGTGGTTACATCCACGGCACAGACAAGGACCATCACTCTTCCTGTGTCTCTTACCTTGACTGTGGGTGTTCCAATCATAGACAAGCCAGGCTAAGGAGAGCACCGACAACATCCAGAACTTAGTGAACAGAAAGTAGGGCAGAAGGATAATGGAAATAGTTCCTGAGGAGATACAAAGGGTTCATGCCCTTCAGTTCTCTTCAAGTTTAATGCACCTCTCATAATTCCAATCTTTGCTCTATATAGTGGTTCTCCACCTTCCTAATGCCGCGACCCTTTAATACAGTTCTTCATGTTGTGTGTGGGTGTATCTGCATGTGGGCGGACCTGCCTGGAGACGAATAGAGGAGCGGTGTCTTGGTTCCTAAGACCATCGGAAATATTTGTTCTCTGATAGTCTTAGGCAACCCCTGTGAAAGGGTCGTTCGACCCCCAAAGGGGTCGCAACCCACAGGTTGAGAACTGCTGCTCTATACTGAAGGAGCAGGTCAAGGCTGGTGTGGGACTCATCTCTCCCTCTCCCCCAATCCCCACCTAGCTCTTCTGTGGTCCAGGTTGGCTGCTGAGTCTCTGAATCTGGGTCCCCTTGATGGCGGAGATCTTAACTGAGGAAACAGCAGAACCAAGTAAGCACATTCCAGCGGAGAGAGGCTGCCTGCAGTGCACAGGCTGTTTGTTGCTGAGAGGAAAACTTTTTAGAAACTGCTTTTTACTAATCTCAATTTTGTTCCATTTAAAATGTCTCAAAGATTCATAAGGGGGGAAATGATCTCTGTTAACAAAGGGCCATGGCAAGCTGTGAAATGCAAATGTGATACATCTTACGGCAGTGGGAATTGAATTTCATTTAAAAGTCTGCATTTATGAGAAAGGGGCTAAGTACACATATTGCGAATGAAAAAAGACCCAGCTAAGGAAATGACTTCTTTGACCAGGTAACCACATCATAGTAGAAAAAAATTCAGAGAAGGGGAAGAAAATCAAGAGTTACTTACCAGTAGGTTTGTCTCTTGCATTTTGAGATGAAAATAACATAGATGAAAATAACAAAAAATGACAGAATGGGCATTTCTTTAAAAAGCCATGTTATGGAGTAGAAGAAACCTTAGTGATGGGCTGAATTCCCCTTGTAAGAGCTGACTGAGATAGTTGTAAGCATGATGATTAAATAAGAGATAGTGGTGGGAGGAGTTTTATGGGAAGCTTGTCATGGATGAAAGTCCTGCTACCTCTGACCCTCATGAAATATGAGAGTCAGTTTGCCGGGTAAACTTCAGAAGAAAACCCAGATAAAGTTAAATAAGAATAATTATTAATTAAAGGCAGCCTAAGTATATTCTTTCTTTTATATCTTTCTTCAAATAAATTTAGTTTATATCCCCAACATTTAGAATAGAGCCTTGCACACAGTAGGTGTTTAACAAATACCTGTAGACTGATTGAAAGATAAATAAATGTTTTCTCTTTTCAAGAGTAGGGGAACTTAAATGATTAGTGTTTAGTCACCATTTGTGTCCTTTAAGAGAGATGTTATTGAAAAAGTGTAGATAGATTAATTGTGTGCCTTATATCCGATCTCTTTCAGCACCTCAAGAGACCATCGGTGTCCTATGAGGGTAAACCAGCCATACCTCTCCTGTGTGAATGTCATCGTTGTCACTCATAGTGACAGAAGTGGGATTTAAAGGACAAGGAGAAACAGAAGCCAAACATGGAAGACCTAAAGCTCATGGAGTAAGGAGTTCCATGACAGAAAGCGAGGGCATCTGAGGCAAGAGTGATGAAGAACGACCATTTGTGTGTATGTATGTGTGACTCTTCCTTAGGTATTATGGCCTTTATGCCAGGAGATGCTTCCAGCATCTTCTCCATGTTCAAGTGAAGACACTTGGAGTGGATGATCAATGATAGAGTTCACATAAGTTAAGCTCCCAACAGTTTGTACTGAAGGTAGTCAAGCCATTCTACTAGATGTATAGTGTAGTATCTCATCATAATTATAATTTGCATTTCCCTAATACTTAATGATGCTTAACAGCTTTTCATGTGCTTATCTGCCTTCTGTATATCCTCTTCGGTAAAGTGCTTGTTCAAACATTTGGCCAATTTTTCAATTGGCTTGCTTATTTTATCACTGTTGGGTTTTGAGAGTTCTTTGCATGTTATGGATACAAGTCCTTTGTTGGATATGTGCTTTGCAAATATTGTCTCTCAGCCTGCATTTATCATTTCATTCTTTCAATGGGGTCTTTCTTAGAGCAAATTCTTCTCATTTTGATCAAATCCAATTTATTGAGGTTTTTTTTTTTTTTACAGATTGTGCTTTTGATGTCAAATCCAAGAACTCTTTACCTAACCATGTGTCATAAAGGGTTTCTCCTGTTTTTTACTAAGTTTTACAGTTTTGTGCTTTACATTTAGATCTGTGATCCATTTTGAGTTACTTTCTTAATAAAATGTGAAGTTTTGGTCAAGGTTTATTTACTACATATGAATATCCAGTTGTTACAACATTATTTGTTGAAAAGACTATCTTCCCTCCATTGAATTGCTTTTCATCTTGTCAAAAATGAATTGGCCACACATCAAAGTTACAACTAAACTACAGAACAACCATCATTCAGAACCGCCTGAAATCAAGCTGAATGGAAGTCCTACAACTATGGAATTATAGAAGCAGCCACATGGAGACTGGTAGGAGGGCGGAGGTGGATGGGCTGGTCACACACCCACGTGTGGCAGATAAAAATCAGGAGGACACCTCGGTTGAGAAGGTCCTCTCTGAGGACTGAGGGGTCCTCGTCCCACACCAGGCACCCCACTCAGGGTTCCAGTGCCAGGAAGAGAAGTCCCCATTACTTCTGGCTGTAAAAACCAGTGGGAATTGAGGCTCAGGGAGGCTGAGGTGGCTGGAGCCCCGGGCAGCTCCTCTTAAAGGGCCCACGCACAAACTTATTGGACTCACTCCCTCTAAGCTTAGAGGGGAGGCAGCTCGAGGGGCGCCAGAGACATACAGGGAAGAACTGAGCTGTTTGGCATTGGAGTGAGGGCTGGAGAGGGGGCTTTCTCCAGGACAAATGTGCTGTCAGAGGCCTTTGTTCCTTTGGTGAGCCCTTCCCTGAGGCAGCAGATGCTGCCATATCTGGGACTCCAGCAACCTGGCTCACAATGGTTGCACTGCCCTGGTGCTTCCCTGAGGCCCTGCCCCACCCAACTTTCAGGCCCACCCAAGCTGTTTCCAGTTGCTTTACCATAGGATTGGCCTGTCTTGGATCCCACTTCAGGTTTTCCTAAATTCTTTCAGACAAGCAGCATCTGGTCTCAGCTAGCCCCATACTTCTCATTAAGTAATACACAGAAACAGACACAGCCAAAAGGAGGAGACAAAGAAACAGGTCCAAGATGAAATTACAGAAAAAAATCTCCAGGAAGAGAACTAAGAGAAATGGAAATAAGCAACCTAACAGATGCTGAGTTCAAAGCACTGCTTATAAGGATGCTCAATGAACTTAGTGAGAACCTCAGTGAACTTAGTGAGGGCCTCAAGAGCATAAATAAGGACCAGTCAGAAATGAAGGAGGCATTAACTGAAATAAAGAATAATTTACACAGATTCAATAATAGAGTAGGTAAAGCCAAGAAGCAAACCATCGATTTGGAATATAAGGAGGCAAAAAACACCCAATCAGAACAGCAAAAAGAAAAAAGAATCCAAAACAGATGAGGATAATGTAAGGAGCCTCTGGGACAACTTCATGCATGCTGACATTCGCATCATAAGGGTGCCAGAAGGAGAAGAGAGAGAACAAGAAATCGAAAACCTATTTGAAACAATAATGGCAGAAAACTTTCCTAACTTGGTGAAGGAAACAGACATACAAGTCCAGGATGCACAGAGAGTCCCAAACAAGATGAACCCCAAGAGGCCCACACCAAGATACATCATCATCAAAATGCAAAAGGTTCAAGACAAAGAGAATCTTAAAAGCAGCAAGAGAAAAGCAGTTAGTTACCTCCAAGAAAGTTCCCATAAGGCTGTCAGCTGATTTCTCAAAAGAAACTTTGCAGGCCAGAAGGGAGTGGCAAGAAATATTCAGAGTGATGAAAAGTAGGAACCTACAACCAAGATTACTCTATCTTGCAAAGCTGTCATTTACAATCAATGGCCATATCAAGAGTTTCCCAGACAAGAAAAAGTTAAAGGAGTTCATCACCACCAAACCATTATTATATGAAACGTTGAAAGGTCTTTTTGAAGAAAAAGATAAAAAATATGAACAAACAAAATGGCAATGAATACATATCTATCGACAATGGAATCTACAAACAAAATGAACAGGCAGAACAGAAACATTCTCATAGATACAGAGAACATTTTGTTGGTTGCGAGATGGGAGGGGTTTGGGGAAATGGGTGAAAAAGGTGAAGGAATTAAGAAGAACAAATTGGTTGCTAGACTGACAAACCTCAAAGAGAAGGGGGTTGGGGGTGGGAAGAAATAAACCAAAGAACTTATATGCATAACTAGTGGACACAGACAACAGTGTGGGAAAAGGCAGGAGGGGGGCGGGAGTGGTGAGGAGGCAGTTAATGGGGGAAAATGAGGAACATCTGTAATACATTCAACAATAAAGATAAAAAGTATGTTACTAATAAACACACAAGTACAAAACAGATCATCATTAAATTACTGTAATAGAAAGTCTTGACACTGTTGACCTCCACTAACAAAGCTGGCATCTACATGAAACATGAAATGATGAGATGGCTTAGGGGCAAGACAACTCCCATGAACGGTGAAAGCAATGTCAGAGTCGGATGTCTAGTGTCACATTCAAAGAAATATAGCTTAATTTTGAAAATTTAAGAAGATTGCAATTCTGAAGGACATGCACCAAGAGGTGCCTTCTTAACGCACAGCAAAATGTGCATCATTTTCTCCCTGTGGCTGACTTTCTCAGTCCTCTCTCCCCAGGTGCCAGCCATCTCTGCAACATTCCTGCAATTTTCAACCTCCCCAAGTGCCAAGTGCTCCAGTCTTTCTAAACCCCTCCCTGCTTTCTCTTTATGAAAATAGACTTAATGCCCCTGCTCTCCTATGTTTTATCTGCATTTCACCAATTTCTTGGATTTCTCTAACCAATGGAGCACAGGAAATGACC